CATTCGCCGTTCGATTCATTCGGGACGTTTCCGCAGTAGCAGCCGCCGCCGCCGCCGCCGCCACCGCCGCCGTCACCGCGAGTGCCGCTCCCCTCTGCCGCCCTCTGACGAACCCGCACTCCCAACCGTCGCACCCGGCGCGACCCGCCATACCCCACCGTTTCTCATGTACAAACTCTTCCTCTCCCCCTGGTCGCTCGCCTCTGCGATTCCCTTGCATAGAAAGCGACGATGCTTAGCTTCGTTCTCCTCTTGCCGGCCGGCGCGGCGGGTTCGTCAAAGCACCGGCTTTACAACAGTCGAAAGGGTTCAGGCACCAGTCAGCCGGCTACCGTCGATCACTTCTGTCGTCTGCGTCGATGTGTGGCGACGGCGGTGTCAACGGGTTAAATCGGCACGACGAGGAATATCGCGATCATGTAATGCTCCTTTAACACTACCCGATTAGCACAAGACTGAAGAAGGTCGCGGTACTCTTAAAAAAAAAAAGTACTTTGAGACATCCCGATGAATCTCCTTATTTCTCCTTAAGAAGATGAAATATATAGAATTCCCAAATTAATACTTGATTAATATTTATTAAGTGGTGCTATTAAAGGCACTATCTTATCTATTATACGTATTATTCAATGAGTGAAAAATGTAAAAAAGCTACATCAGCTATTTGGATGCACAAAAATTCTTTATTTTTCATATAAATGTAACAAAAGAAATAAATTATACGTTTCAACCCTTCAGTTCGGGTCCTTATCAATATAAAATATAAATAAAAATTACGTAATTAACGCAAATTCCAAGTTGATGATTCCCGACAAATTAATTCTTTCTTTATCCAAATGCCAAATTAGCTATGTAATGAATAGCTTAATGATTATCAAAATTATTACATTATACAATAATAATAAAATTTACATAAAGAAAAACCGAAGTCATATGCACCGCGTCATTACGTAGAGTCACATCGCCATCAAATTGTCAGATTTGCTGTGTAGTCATTCAAAAGAAACACGAAAATTAAAGAATTATTAAAATTATTTGTCTGAATTTTCTATTGTATCCACTGCAAGCGTTTTCTCGCGGCTTCACAAAGAGGACTTGTGGTGTCGACAGTCAGAGATACAATGAGAGTCAAAATAATAAAGTAGACTTTTTCTTCGTCTAATACCTTGACATTTTCCCAATCAAAATCATGCTGATAAAGATTGATTGTCGTGAAGCATCATATGTGAGCCAGGTAGATGTTTGAAGATACACATAAATGAACATAAAAATCACATATATTGGAACACTACACAGCATTCTGTAATAACAGAACACAGAATCAGTCATCAGCATTTTGGGAAAATGTCAAGATATTAGACGAAGAAAAAGTGCTTGATAAAAGATTGATTTCGAAAGCGATCCATGTAAAGCAACAGAGTTTGAATTTACAGAATGATACGTATTCTTTAGACCCACTATATATGAATTTGTTTACTGAATTGTGACATTAATATTACTCTCTTTTATTCTTAGTTTTATTTTTCTTTTAATAACTACTTGACTTTATTATTCTGACTCTCATTGTATCTCTGACTGTCGACACCACAAGTCTTTTTATTATCATTGTATAATGTAATATTTTTGATAATCATTGAGCTATTCATTACATAGCTAATTTGGCATTTGGATAAAGAAGAACGAACTAATTTGTCGTCAATTTGGAATTTGCGTTAATTATGTAATTTCGATTTATATTTTATATTGATAAGGACTCGAATTGAAGGATTGAAACGTATATTTTATTGCTTTTGTTGCATTCACACGAAAAATAAAGAATTTTTGTGCATCCGAATAGCTGATGTAGGCTCTGATGGGCTTTTTTACATTTTTCACTGATAGATTCTTTCGAACCTTATTATATATATTTGTTTACATATTATTCAACTGCTATTATTATATTAATATAATCATTCTTTCTTCAACGTTATTCTTGTAACGGAACAAGGAGTATGAAAGTGAAAAGAAGAAAATTGCGAAAGTATGTTCCCTGTTGGTCGTTGGCCGTACAAAAATGTTTTATGTATTGTTCATGTTGAATGAAAAATGATCGCGCTACGAGCACATTTTAACATTTTTAAATATTGAAAAGATAAAACACTATTTTCTTGATCAAACGACAATTTAGCAAGATTATATAATATTGCGATCGAAGATAATTACAAGTACTAACAAGAACTGCGAGCCTCAAGTTTAACATAAATGTTCGCTTAACTAAAAAACCGATTTTCTGTTTAAATAATCATAACTAGAGTATTCTAAAATTTCCAGAAAAGAGAATTATTGAATAAGAGTTATTAATTAAGAAAAATAGGATCCACGGCTAGATAGGAGTAAGTCCTATTATATATTCCTTTGAAATCACTTGATACAGCAGTGTCAGATAATAATTTTAAAAAAGTGGAAAAAAAAACCTATTTTTATCTTTACTCTCTAAATTCTTTGGAATGGAATCTCATAAAGAGTGAAAATTGAGCCGGTCTTGAAAAAGAGCGGTTCAATTTTCGATCTTTAAGAGTAAGATTTCACTCTTCGGAGTGAGATTTACTCTAAAAGTTTTAGAGAATACATATCAGGTTGCGACATACGTAACAATAGCAATAAAAAATCTAATATTATACTAAGGGTATGATACCAGGTATTATGCTCATTCATTAATTGATAAAAGATCTCTTTTGAAGAAGCCTCAAAAATGTTAATAATCTTAAAATTCTATATTACAACAATTGTGTAACACGCAACAGTTCTCATCCGACTATAAAATTTCTTTTTGTTCTTTTTTAAGCCACGTTCACGATCGAATGGCAAAAGATATCGCTCGGTATGCTGTTATCTCTCTCTCTCTCTCTCTCTCTCTCTCTCTCTCTCTCTCTCTCTCTCTCATACTATATAAAACTTTCAAATTCGCCGTCGGTTGCACACGTCGCGTCGATACGTGCAATTTGTGCACGGATCTTGACCGTGCGGATCGAGTGATCGAATCTTTTTATGCCTATCCCGAAATCGAGGGCACAAGACGCGCGAGCGCATCGACCGATCGACAGGGCCCACGTTGTCGATGCACGATAGCGTAATATAACGGGGAGAGGGAGCGGAGGGGGGTGACCGGGCGAAGATCGGGCCCGTTGAATGCGAGATAGTCGCGTGACCGGGGCTTGTGGTCCACAACATTTGAAATCCAAATGGGCTCTCAAAAGGATTCAAATCTCAAATACGCGCAAAATCGAAGATGCACCACGTCGTGTATTCTAAACGTGTATTCTCTCGATCTTTTCGCATTCCGAATATATATATATATCTCCGTTGCGAGCGAAACTGGCGAGATTTCGGATAGGCACGGGGGCATGGAGCGACTCTCGTTGCTATTGGATAAGATAGATTTTTACATTGCAAAGGCAAGGAACGAGACATATTTCGAGCGTCTCAATAATAGAGAATTCAGCCAGGAAATACTTACGAAGGTCTCTTCCGTTTTTGAAGAGATGGAAACAGGTAAGACATGTAAAACGTGTCGGAAACATATCGAAGGATTGAAATAATTCGATGAACGTCTGGTTAATTGAACGAATTGGGAAGAGAAGAACGCAAAGGGTGCATCTCTAACGGTAAAAATCTCGATTTATCTCGATTTAAACCGACATCCGTGAGATCTGTGCGCGTACGCGATCGCCGGAAGGTGAAAAGCGAAGAACACTCGGCTCATCGAAATCTCCACGATATCTGTGCCTCTTCGCTAACGCATTGATCGTAGTAATGAGTACCTTGATCGGCGACGGACTCTTTCATCATATCCGGTTAAAGTTGAACGACGGATCGCCCCCTACATTGTAACTGCACTACTGAAGGTGCATTATGTCGTTCAATAAAATTTTAT